AAAAAACTTCTATTTCGGTGCTTACAATATGTGATGCCTTTTCAATCCAGTAAATACGTTGAATACGTTGTGTTCTTCAACGTACTGTCTCCTTACTATTACGTCTATAATGGCTCTCAATTGGATTGCATATTAAGATCATTAGTCTCATCAATAACACCATAGAAAAAGTGATCATACGTGGCTCAAAAATGAAGAATGAAGAGAAATTTTGTGTAGAAATGATCGATGATAATTTTACTTTGATAATTTTAAGTTGATTATTCGAACGGCTGTTATCCTTATTCGACTTCCCATTTCCAAAAAATAAAAATAAAAAATACTAGCTGACTATTAGTTTCGGTTATAGAGAAGAAAAAAGATTTTCCCCTAAAAAGTGCCTGAGAAAATAATTAATTGTATTTCAGAAAAAATAATTAATCGCCTGAGAGAAAAAAGAATTAATTGTGTGTTTCGTTTTTTTTTTTTTTTCTTAATTGTAATTTGAGTCAAAAACGATAAGTAATGAACATATCCCTATAGAACTGATCTTTCCTATCAAAAAATAACAAGATGTCACATATGTTGTCCTTATATTCAACATAACTTCATTTTGTATTTTGCTCAAAACTCCCCTAAAATTGTATCATTTTATACAACTTAAAACACTACTGATTAGCATAAAATTCAATCAACAACTGTATCATCATAATATAAGCCATGAACTTCTATGCGAATTAAAAAACTCAAAGGTAAAGCTTTTTTTTTGAGATACAAAATTTGCTAGATCAAATTTCAGCATTAAGAAAAAGTGCAAAATTTCAAAAATTTAATGCGGCATTTCTTTGATATGCTGTAATGTCCTTATCAAATTTAAATTCTCTCTTCTAATATATCAGGGCACTGAAAAAAAAAAGCAGATGTTTGCAAGATAAATTTAGCACATAGATAAACTACTTTCAAATCTATTCTAATCGTAAAAAAGAAAACGAAAACTTGCTACAAATCAAAATCAAAATAGTAGAATTCATCAGTTTGTGTCATTTTATGATGTTCACTTTCTTTTTCCTTCTCCCCTTTCCCCTTGATCGAGATTACTGATCTATAATTTCTTTCTTTTTTTCCTAGATAATGATATCTAAATCGATATAACGATTAAGATGATTGTTGTGTTTTGGACGAAATGATTGGATTCAATTATTGACCAAACATATTAAATGTTGATGAACTGATGAACTATTTCTCTATTTATATTATTTTTTTCCTTTTCGTTTTACTAAAAATATTACTCTAAACTTTAAAGTAATTCTGTTATCAGAGGTTTCTTTAAAATGAATTTGCTGGCGATTTATTACTTCACATTATCACTACTCATTATTTCATAAAAGTCAATTTATGTGATCAGATATGGGACTTTCAGAAGTTTCATGAATGGCCAAATTTTCAGTAAGAATTTAGCAAATAGTTTGGAGAAATAAAAGAGAGAAACAAAAACAGTTGCCTGGAATATCGTAAAATATGATAACATGTGTTTTGATGGTTTTAGAAAAATAAGGAAATGAGCAAACAAGTTTTGCAAACATTTAGTTGCTTTTTAAAAAAAGAAAAAAAAGTCGGTAACATTAAAGAAAACGATATTTATATGAGTTGAATAAAAAGAATAAATTGACTCGGACTTTATTTTCGTTTTTCAATGTATAAAATGATTTTCCCAGGATGATTTATTCCAATTTTAAGCGAACTTTGAATCTGAAATACCATCTTTCTCAACTAATTGTCATTACATGACAATTAACGGATTGAGTGATGAGCAGGAGACATGTCAAGTGGTTTTTCTGTTTACTATAACTTCGAAAATTGAAATTAATTATGTCAAGAAACTGCCAACAGAAAAATAAACTTATCCGTTAGATTTAGTAATCATCCGGGGAAATGAGTTTATGTCATATAAATATACAAAAGTACATGCACACCCATTATCACTACATATGTATCAGTTATGAAATCAAATTTTCTCATAAATTATCAAATCTATGAGACATTGAAGATTTGATGTAAATGAAACGAAGCCATTATACGATTTAATTATACGGCCATCTGTTCATCGATGTAAATAATCGGAAATTTTCAGTTCATGACAATGGTTCACACCTTAACAAAAAAAAAAAAAAGAAAGAAAGAAAGAAAGAACAGAATAGATTTATTTTCAGAATTTGTTCGATGCCACATTTCATCAAATTATACTGTACAGGATGGTTGTCCGACTTTACTAACCCCTCTTTTCTTCCTCTTAAAAAAAAAAAAGAAAAAAAAAAGAAATTAAAATGAAATCCGTGCTGGATAATACCACCACTTAGTGATCAATGTAATACTTGGAAATTTCAAATTTTGTCCAAATTATTCGCTCAATTTCAGGTTTCAATGTTTTTTCTTATATTCATTTACTGATAATAAAAAAAAAGAAACGAAAACAAAAGCAAAAAACAAATTATCGAAATTTGAAAACAGAATGCTGAAACAATTAAGGTAAGCTGTAATTGTGCTAATTAAAAGTTATCATACATTTACTTACAGGTAAATAAATCGATACCACATAAAAGAAAACATTTAATAAATTGGAGAAGTTATGCTAGAAAAGATGTAGTGACTGCGACAATAACATTTAAAGTTCAATGTCAAAATTTTTTATCTTTTACCTCAGTGCCTTATGCTTGTCGATTTCAACCACCTCAAAACATCTCGACAATTTCAAAAATCAAACTTTTCCGAATTTTGAACAATCTCCTCAATAAATATTTCCGGATTCATCTAATCGCCCATTCTCTCGTGAAATCCCGTAAAATTTTTTATGGGGAAAAAAAATTTTCGAAGTTAACGAAACTGTAAATAAGTGATATATAAACCCTAAGAATTGAATGATAATAATGTTTACCATGTTTAGATGATGTTTAGATCAACATATATTTGATTATATCAGTGAATGATAAATTATACGTCAGCAGTATTCGAAAAACTGATAAATGATTGACATTTGTGATTTTGAAGTGTAACTGTTGCAAAATAATACAGCATGCTTCAATACTACTCAAAGTGTCTAAGATACTAATTAGATTATTCGTCGCAATGACATCAAACTTTTTTACTTAATTGTGTTAACAACACAGCCATTAGAATATTGAAAATTTTTTTTGATAAAAAACATAATTCTTTGTAATAGCAACGTATTAGAATGTAATGGTGAAGATCATAGTTATCTTTTAAATTCGAAAAATTTCAAGTTAACCCACATATTTCGAAGGTTCCATAATGGTAATATAAGATTTAATTAGCAGTAAAATTTAACATTGAAATTCAGAAATTACATTGATTCTGTTCAAAAAGAGACTAAAGAATTAAATTTTTAAAAAAGATCCTAAAAGTTATTGAAATACACTTAGAGAAATCATAATGAAGCAGCGATATGAAGACTACTGTTGAAATGTTGAATAAATATATCATTGTTTTTCATATTAACTAATATGATTGTTTACCAACTTATTTCTTTTTTCATGGTATTGAAATGGAATTCGAATATGTTAACATTCTCGTTATATTTGAAGATTTTCGGAAGCGTTATTCAAGCTTAATACTTTTCCAATTCATATATATATATATATATATATATATATATATATATATATATATATAT